TTCTATTTCTATGAGGAATGCCATTGGGATTTTGATTGGAATTGCATTAAATCTGTATAATGCTTTTGGTAGTATGATCATTCTGACAATATTAATTCTGCCTATCCAAGAACATGGGAGATCTTTCCATCTTCTAAGGTCTTCTTTAATTTCTTTCTTTAGCATTCTGTAGTTTTCGATGTAAAGTAGTTGTAGTTTTCACCTCTTTTATTGTTAGGTTGCTTCCCAAGTATTTTATTTTTTTGGAGGCTATTATAAATCGGGTAGTTTTCCTAGTTTCCCTTTCAGAGGATTTGTCACTGATATAGAAAGGAATGCTTTTGATTTATGGGTGTTGATTTTGTATCATGCTACTTTGCTGAATTCATTTACTAGTTCTAGAAGTTTTCTGGTAGAATTTTTTTTGGGTCTTCTAGGTATACAATCATATCATCACAAATAGTGCTAATTTGAGTTCTTCTTTTTCCTATCTATAGCCCTTTAATTTCTTCCATCTGTCTAATTGCTAGAGTTTCAAGAACTATGTTAAATAGAAGTGGCAAAAGAGGGCATCCCTATCTTGTTCCAGTTTTTAGAGGGAATGCTTTCAATTTTTCTCCATTTAGAATGATGTTGGCCTGGGGCTTAGCTTAGATAGCTTTTACAATGTTGAGATATGCTCCTGTTATTCCTAGTTTTTTCCTAATGTTTTGAACATGAAGATGTGCTGTACTTTGTCGATCCCTGCCCTATTTTGTATTTTGATTTAGAGACAGGGTCTCACTGGGTTACTTAGTGCCTTGCTTTTGCTGAGGCTAGCTTTGAACTTGCAATTGTCCTGCACAGCCTCCTTAGCCACTGGGATTATAGTATGTGCCACCGTGAATGGCTAGTGCGGTTCCTTTGGTTGTGTTTACTTCATGAATATTCATTAGGCTGTATATGTATGGGCGTTTGTGTGCGCATGCTTTTGGTACTGGGGGCTGACTATGTTTCCCTTGTACATGTCAGGCAAGCACTCTATCACTGAGCTCTTTTGTAAAGTATACTGTATGTTTATCTGCGGTTATGAGAAACTCTGGGTGGCAGGTAATCCAAAAGAATGGCTTCAGTTTGGGGGCTTTTAATTTTTTAATCCTTCTTCATGACCATATTTAGCAAGGTCATTTACTTTGTAAGAATATTACTGTTTTCATGGTGTCTTATCTATATACAGGAAAACATTTTGTTCTCTACTGTAGAAATTTGTAGAAGGAGGCAGGAGTCCAGTTCATCCAATTGAAATTTCAAGTCCTCCTACTCTAAATTGATGAACACAGTGCTTGGTTGTTTCCCTTGAGCTGATAAAAAGGCCATTTCCTGTACTTGTGGGATTATCTATGGAGGCCACTGGGAGCTCCGCCAACAGCTCAGGGGCTAACTCTGTGTTGTCAGATCAAGGACTCCTAAAATCTCCACCTTATAACCTGCAACGGGGATGGGGGTGGGGGTGGGAAGAGAGAGGGCAGGGGGTTAGCAATGATGGTGGAATGTGATGGACATCATTATCCAAAGTACATGTATGAAGACACAAATTGGTGTGAACATACTTTATATACAACCAGAGGTGTGAAAAATTTTGCTCTATATGTGTAACATGAATTGTAATGCATTCCGCTGTCATTTATTTTAAAAAATCAATTTAAAAAAATCCTGCAAAGGACAAGATGGGATCTTTCTCTTGTATGGAGCTTCATTTCTACCTAGAACCCTCCCAGTGGTGTTTGTTGCAAACTTTCAGGATCAACCTCTTTCACAGGCAACATAATATCTAACCTGCTAGGTGAGATCTTGACATCAATAATCAGAGATTTAGGGGCTGGGGATGTGGCTCAGCGGTAGAGTGCTGGCCTGGCGTGTGCGAGACCCTGGATTCCATCCTCAGTACCACATAAAAATAAATAAGTGAAATAAAGGTATTGTGTCCAATTACAACTAAAAACCCCAAATATTTTTAAAAAATAATCAGAGATTTGGATGGTTTCATGTAGACTAAAGTATAAGGAGACCATTGGGCATACTAAAACATGTTGATGTTTCAGAGAGTACAGAATGAGATCTGGTGCTATTTGGGGGAAGTCAGATGGCCAGATAGATCTTATGGAGGTAGCGTTCAATCTTTGTTACATAGTAGGTGTTAAATGTAGTAGATGCACACAAAAAATATACTACTGGTACTTCCCCCAACTTTTCTTTCTTTATTTTTATGTGGTGCTGAGGATCGAATCCGGGGCCTCGCATGTGCTAGGCAAGCGCTCTACCACTCAGTCACAATCCCAGCCCCCCAACTTTTCTTTACTGTGTTTTTTTTTTTTTTTTTTTTTTACACACGTGTGTGGTGCTGGGGATTGAACCCAGGGTCTTGTGCATGGTAAGCAAATGCTCTACCACTGAGTTCTAAACCCAGCCCTACCAGATCTTTGTTACAGCGGTGAGTGTTATCTGCTAAATGAGGATGAGATGTGTTCAAAATGCTGCTCTCTTACTTCAAGGTAGTTTCAACTCTTTGGTACAATTGATGCTCCAGGGTTCTTCATTGTGATCTGAAGCTCACCTTCAGACAAGATCACATCCTTGCTCATCTCCCTTTCCTGATTTTTCTTCCTTCACTGTGTTTCTTCTGAGAGAACTGTGCTAATACATTATGTACTAAAATTTTGCTTCAGGCTCTGCTTCTAGGGAAACTGTCTTGGTCCATTTTCTAATGCTATAACAAAATACCTAAGACCTGAAAATTGATAAGGAAAGAGATTTATTTTGTTTCATGGTTCTGGAGACTGGAAAGTCCAAGAGTGTGGTACCAGAAAGAACCTCATGCTGCTTCAACTCAGGGTGGAAAGCAGAAGGACAAGTGAGAGTGTCCAGAAGAGATCAAAAGAAAAGCAAGAAAACTGAACACACTTTATAATGATCTGCTGTCCTAGTGAATAATCCAATCATGAGAGAAAGAACAAAGGCATTAATACATTCCTATGCACTCTGCCCCCAAGACCCAAACATCTTCTGCCAGGCTCCTCTTCCCAACACTGCCTCACAGGGAAACAAGCCTCAACACGAGTTTTGGTAGGGACACAGTATATTCAAACCATAGCATTGTCCCAGGTCATTGCATGAGTAAAAGCCAACAATTATAAAATCCATCCATGTCCATGATCACAACACAAGCAAAGATACAGAAAGTAATGATATGAAATTAGAGAGACATTGCAGCAGATATAACCTGCAAACCAGAATGGCAGTGCTGGGGCCCAGGCCAAACAATAGATCTGCAGGAGTGGGCAGGATGTGTGGGTGGGTTAGGGGTGAGGCTTTGTTGAAGTTGAGCTATGCCAGGCTTGAAGAGGATGCTGAATGAGGAAGGTCAGGATGTGGGGTACATCCTAGAATCTAAGAATCTGTGCTCTGAGGCAAAACTGAGAGTTTCCCTCGGTTAATAAGGGGTTTTCTTTGATTTCCAGGGACTCCCAGGTGCCTAACTCTTAGGTAGCTGCCCTAGGACTATGCTTCACAGCACAAGGGTTATGTGAGACAATGTTCTGGTTATTTGTTGCTGAGTAACAAGACTCTTTTAAAACCAGAGGCTTAAAACAGAAATGACTTTATCATTTCTTGGGATTTTGGATAAGGCATAGTAGGAAAGACTCATCTCTGTTCTAGATAATGTGGAACAGCTCAAATAGCTCCAATAACCCAGATGACCTAGTCACTTGATGACTAATTCCCTCAAATAGGAGGGCAAACCAGGTTCCCAGGTCTGGGGTCTCTCCCTTTCCATGTTTGTTTTTTTTCCCCACAGGTGGGGGAGGGAGAGCATCTTGGTACTACCAAGAGCTCAAATTCAGGTCTTTTTTAAAGCTCAGAGCTGGAGCTGACACATTTATCACTTCCACCACACTCTTCTGTTGGTTAAATGGTGTTAGGCTCAGTCCAGATTCCAGGGCTGAGGCCCATACAAGATGGTTATACTGATGGGAGCTGTGTTTTCTCATGGGGCATTGAAGATAATAAGAAGGGCTCTGGGGCTCACTTATTCAAGTTAAGGTTCTCCTGATTCTTAATTCTTGGCTGCCTTCTCTTTAGATAATACGGTTAGAAAGCAAATAGTGGGGTGCAAGGTAACCCCTAAACTTCTCCCACAGAATTAGAGGTGGGTAGTCTGGTCTGCCACTGAATCATCAGGTTATCAAGGAGACCTGGAGGTGTCTTCAGTCTTGTTAGGCATGTATTTATATGCCAGGTTCTTTTATTTTTATTCTTTTTTGGTACAAGGATTCCAAGGGTGCTCAACCACTGAGTGCCATCCGTTTATTTTTTATTTTGAGACAGGGCCTTCGTTAAGTTGCCGAGGCTGTATATGCCAGGTTCTCAACCCACGTGTTATTTCATTATCCCTATTTTTATTGGTATATTTTAATTATACATAATAGTGGGATTCACTGCTACATATTCATTCGTACATGCACATAATATAATATGATCAACTTCATTATTCTAGAGACTATTTTAGAGACTATTCTAGAAACTCGAATGCAGCACTCCCTTTTCTATAGGATTGCACCTAACACCAACAACACCACAATACAGCCTTCGAGGTCCTTTTCGCCTGGCGGCAGGGGTCGGGGCAGAGCGCTGATGGGCCCCGGTCGTTCAAGAGGATAATACTCAAGGCGGCCGGCGCGGCTACATAGTCCACCACTAGGGACTCTGTAGCTGTTACTCCGCCGCCGCCGCCGCCGCCACCACCCGGTGAGAAGGGCGAAAAGTAGAGCGCTGGGGCCACTCGGTTGGGAAGTGAGGATCTCCGGTCTCCAACCCTGGGGTGGACGTAGACCTGCGTTTCGCTCTACGACCTACAGCGCTCGCTCTAGGACCTCCGCTTGCGCGCCCCGCCCACGCACGCACGCACGCACATTAGCCCCGCCTACAGCGCGGCTCTGGTCCCTCCCTTTGGATTGGCCGCCCGAGCCACCGTCTGCACAGCCCCGCCCCGCAGGGCCAGGCGAAGCGGAGCCGGCCGTGCGGTGTGTGAGTGTATGTGTTCGCGGGGCGCCGTCTCAGCCCCGGGAAGATGGTGGCGGCCGCGGCGGCGACTGAGGCGAGGCTGAGGAGGAGGAGGACGGCGGCGACGACAGCGCCTTCTGGCTGGAAGGGCGGGCGGCATTGGGACTGGGACGTGACCGGGGCTGGGAGGCCGGGACCGGGGGCCAGGCTGCGTCTCCCTGGGCTGCTGTCGCCGTCACTACCGCCGCTGCTGCTGCTGGTGCTCCCGTCGCTACTGCTGCCCTGGGAGGCCGAGGCCGCAGCGGCGGCCGCGGCAGTGTCGGGCTCAGCCGCAGCAGAGGCCAAGGAATGTGACCGGCCCTGTGTCAACGGCGGCCGCTGCAACCCTGGCACTGGCCAGTGCGTCTGTCCCGCCGGCTGGGTGGGCGAGCAATGCCAGCACTGCGGGGGCCGCTTCAGGTGAGTGGGGGTGGTGTTGGAGGGTCGCGCCAGGGGGAGGCTGGGGTGAGGGGTGCTTGAGACAGTTCTGACTTAGAAGCGAATGCAGGACATAAAGTGGGGAGGGAAGGGTTGCCCCACTCTATTTGATGGCCATTTGCTTCTGGGGAGATCACCATCTCTGGTTTGGGGGTTTCCTGTGGCAGAAGGTGAAAAGGTGCGAGGCAGGAGTGAGGTATCCCAAAGGTATTTGGGTGCTAAATTAGAAGAATGCTTTGGATTCTAAAAACTGTCAAAGCCAGTTTCAGAAACTGGGCCTATTTCGGATAAAGGAGGTTTCAAGAAAAAGGTGAGGGAGCCAGTTCTTACCAAACATTTCATTTTAATATCCCCCTTTGCCCTAGATCCTAATGAGTTTCCCAAATGTAGAAGGTCTGGGATGTTCTGAAGAAGCAGGGCCCTGGAAGTGATTTTTTTGGTGGAGATATAAAGGAAAGGGTAGGCGTGAGAGATTTTAGGGATAGAACACCAGGTGGTTGTTGGCTAAAGGAAAGTGAGAAAGCTAGCCTTTAGAAGCTCACTGGCTAGTGAAATACAGAGCAGGTTCTGTCCTGGAGAGGAATTGGAAAGCCCTTCCTGTTTGCCCTGGTATCTGTACATATGGAGTTCTGAGTTGGCTTGGTTTGGGGCAGTATCCTTTGGACAGATCACTCATTAATTGATTAGCAGTTGTGTATTATTTGCTTCAGTTGTGCAAGGATTTCTGGATACTACACATAGATTAGCCAGACTTTGGCCTAGTCCACAGGAGTTTGGAATATAGCAAGAGGAAGATATGTACACAAAACTCTAGTCACAAGAAACACAGAGTCATTCAAGATTTAGGCAGATATTTTCTGAATACCTCCTGCATCTGACTTTAGGGAGTGGTGGAATGTGGTGAACAAGACAGATAGGGTCCTGCTTTCAGGGATCCTCTATTCTTGTGTGGGTGACAAGCAGTTAAGAAATAAGTGAAAGAAATGACAATATAATTCTAGCTAGTAATGACTATAGTTACCAAAATAAAAACAGGTTGATCTGATAGAGAATTATAACCAGCCAGTCATTTGAAGTGCCATTTGATCTGAGACCTGAATGAGGCACTGGAGAACCTGTGAAAATTCAGAGTTGGAGGGTTTGTGAGTAGCTGGGGCCTGCAAGGAAGAAAGACTTGGAAGAGGAGGTAACATTGGATTTGAGCATTTGAGGCTAAGTAGGATTTGGAAATGGGAACTGGGGGGAAAAAATCCCAGACTGAAGGAAGGATGAAGATGAGTTCTGGAGGCAAGATTTGCTGATGCCTCTGTAGAACAGAGTTGTGAGGGAGAACTTTGGAATAATAAAATTATAGATCTTCTAGGGAACTCTTGAGAACATTGAACAGATGAACTCTTTAGTTTTATATGTGGAGAAACCAAGTGTCTTCAGGTCCAGTGTATAGTGGGCTAGTCTTGTAACATATTTAGGATGTTCTGATTTATGAATTGTTAATCTGCATATATTTGTTGAGAGTTCCTCAGGTTTGATAGTTCTTTCTCTCCCTTTCTTTCTTTCTTATACTGGGGATTGTACAACTGAAGTACATTCCCAGCCCTTTTTGTTTTTTATTTTGGGACAGATTCTCACTAAGTCATCAAAACTGGCCTTGAATCTTTCTGATCATCTTCCCTCAGTCATCAGAATAGCTCGGGTTATAGGCATGTGCCACTGTGCTTGTTGACTCCTCTTTTTCAGTTGTGAGATATAGTGGTAAACAAGACAAAGTTCTGTTCTTATGGAGCTTACCTTCCTTCCAGTTTGGGAATAAAACAATCCAACAATCTATAGTAATTTTTTTTAAGGCTGTGGAGGTAAAGAGCAGGGGACAGAGGACTTGACTTAGTTTGGAATGGGGTGAGGTTAGTCAGTGGGTAAATGAGTTGAGATCTGAAGAGTAAGATGGTCCTACTACCTGAAGGGTGGGGTGCTTAAAGGCCATCATGTCCAGAGACTTGGGGATGAGTGGGATCATGGCAAGGTGGCAAGATGACTGGAGCAGAGAGAGCAGAGGGGAGCATGACAAGACTGGACAGACTGGTGGTCCAAGTATAGTGGAGACCTGTTGGTCAGATTGAGAATTTTGACCTTTAACCCAAGAACAGTGTGATGGCATAGTTCACTCTTATTTTCATGATGTTAAGGCTATTAGGTTATAGTTAGAGCAGGAATAGCAGGAATAGGTGAGGCCAGAGCATTCTGAATTTGAGGAACTTCCAAGATCAAGTGAATGGTTGATTGAGTCCAATGAAGGTCCTTAATGTTCTGAAAATCTGGGCCACTATAGTGGGCAGTGGGACCCCCAGAGTAAGAAGGGGCATTTGTAGCAAAGTCAGTGTATCTGTAATTTTCAGAGTAGATGGACTTACTGGGCATGAGGGTCCAAATGGGTTTCTAAGTGGGGTTTGTTAGCATGAGTCAGGGCATCAGTAATGAGAGTCTGAGGTAGGCAGTCTGAATAGAGGCAGGGCTAGATGCTGTGTGGTGTTGCAGAGGTAAAATGAACAGGTCTTTCTTTGAAACTGGTTTGCTCTTGGGAAGGAGGCGGATTATAGTGAGGGAAAAAACTAGATTCTACCTTGAGTGATTCAGTGATATTATTAACAGACCTTGGGACCCAGGAAAAGCTAATCTAAGTTGAATTTGTACATACTGAGTTTTGGGGGTGGTCCCAGGTATGTACATGGCACACATTAAGTGTTGGAGTCATCTACTTATGCGGGATAATATCAGGGAGTTAGACTTGTCTAGTGTCTACATGGACAGACCAGAGGATTAGAGAAGAGCCTCTTATAATGGGGAACAGACACTCTTTTTTTTTTTTTTTTTTTTAGTACTAGGGATTGAACTCCTGGGCACTTGACCACTGAACCACATCCCCAGCTCTATTTTGTATTTTATTTAGAGACAGGGCCTCGCTGAGTTACTTAGCACCTTGCATTTGCTGAGACTGGCTTTGAACTCACAGTCCTTCTGCCTCAGCCTCCCCTACTGCTGGGATTATAGGTGTGCGACATTGCGCACCTTCTGGAACAGACATTCTTGACACTCTCATATGGTATCACATGTAAGTCAAGGGGCTCTTCTAGCTGTTGAGGATACTCTGAGCAGATACTAACTGATGATGTCAGTGCTCTTTTGTGGGCAAACAATTATGACTGATCCTGATGATACCATTGTATTAAATGCCTTCTGGAATTTGCATTTTTTAAAGATGAAAGTAGGAGGAAGTTATGTTTTTAGTCTTTTATAAAAACTTTGGGATTAAGATTTTTTGGGGGAGAAGAATTAAATGTTGGTTTGGATTAGAATGATATCTGTCTTGATTTAACTTACAAATCTTTTTGTTATTAAACTAAAAGATTTTAAATAATACCTTTCTGGTTTAGAATAGCATCAAGTCAGGGTGTGTTCTTTAAGCTTTTTATTTTGTAAATACTCTGATGTTATTGCTGTTGTAAGTTTTTTTCATCAACTGAAAGGAATGTAGGATAATAAAACGATTAGATTTCACTAAAATTATCAGTGAGCATATAGTGTGTGCCAGCACCTTGGCCATCAATTTTTATATACACAGTACCATTTAATCCTCAAAGTCTTGAGTATGTTGTATAAAATTTGAATTATTGTATGATTGTGATCAGTCTCTTAATTTTTTTTCCCAAATGAAAGATGCTATGGGGGCTGGAGTTGTGGCTCAGCTGTAGAGCGCTTGCCAAGCTATGTGCAAGGCCCTGGGTTCGATCCTCAGCGCTACATAAAAATAAATAAATAAAGGTATAAAAAAATAGATAAATAAATTTAAAAAAAGGAAAAAAGAAAAAAGAAAGATATGGAAATGATTAATTACACCTGGGTAATTAATGGTGGCACATGCCTGTAATCCCAGGGGCTTGGTAGGCTAAAGCTATGGCACAAATTCAAGGCTAGTCTGTCAGCAACTTAGTGAGACCCTGTATCAAAATTAAAGAAATAAAAAAGAGTGGGGAGGTACTCAGTGGTAAAGTGCCCCTGGGTTCAATCTCCAGTCCACAAAAAAGAAAAAAGAATATTATAGAGGACAAGGTTAATAATGTTAATTTCATAAAAATAAATATAGAGTCTTTGATGAGTGATTTCTAAGGCAGTAACCACTTTCATTTTTATGTGAGTCTTCATAAATTAGTGGCCATTTTTTTCTACTTGTGGTATCACCATCAAAAATTTCCTGTGGGGGTTGGGGTTGTGGCTCAGTGGTAGAGTGCTTGCCTAGCATGCTTAAGGCACTGGGTTCGATTCCCCAGTACCATATTTAAAAAAACTAAATAAACAAAATAAAGGTATTGAGTCCATCTACAAGTAAAAAAAAATTTCCGGTAGATGATAAGTACATTCTGTTACGTTAAAAGTAAGGGCATTAATTAAGTACATTAATAAGATTAATGAAAATTAAATGAAATTAATATGCATTTAATTTTTTAAAAAGTTCCTGCTATGTAAAAGTTTTGTAAGGATGGGAGAGAATAAATCTAGTGAATTAGGACCTTTTCAGTACCCATGCTGTTAAGACATACCTTCTGTAGAAGAAAAAGGAAGCATTTATTGGGCATCCATTTTGTAATCTTCACATGCAGTAATAGTAGTAGTGCTGATCATAGTAGCAGCTTCTATCATTTCTCTAGCTAGCATTTCTCATTTTTCCCCAGGCATTATGCCAAGTGTTTTTTTTTTAAATTTTTTAATTTTTTAATTTACCTCCTCTAATCATTAGAGTGAAGTGATTCCCATTTCATTGATAAGTAAACTGAAGGTTGTATTATTATTATTTTTTGGTGTTGAGGATAGAATCCATGGCTTTGTGCATTGCTAGGCAAATATCCTACCACTGAGCTTCACTCCTAGCCAGAAGCTTGAAGATAGTGAAGAACTTGCCCAAGGACAAACAACTTGTGCAAAATTGGAAT